TTAAATTTATTATACTTATTATATATCATAATTAACTTATCATTATACACAAGTATTTGGTTAGTGTTAAGTGCAAAGATTCTATAATGTTAATGTGCTTATAAAGATCTAACTTTTATAAAAAATAATTAAAAAATGAAAAAAAATTGAAATGAAAGAATTTAAATTAGAAAATAATCAGAAACATACACACACGTAAGACTAGTGATAAAGAAAGAGCAGTTCTTATAATATTATTGTTACTAATATTATTTTAATTTAATTATTATTTTCATAATTATCGATTATCAAGAATGACTGTATTGTTTAAGACTTAATAAAACCTTTTTACAATCTTGAAAAATTTAAAAACTTTAATGTTTCATGATTCAGGCTTGTGGAGAAATTAACTAATACAATACAAAAACATATTCAAACAATTAAAACACGTGAAAACATACATCAGTTCACATACACACACACGTGCGCGCGCACACACACACATACACATAGACACACGCACACATTACGTAATGTTAACGGGTTACTTTAAAAAAACACTAATCGAATTTTTTCTTTTTCCAACGTATATTGAATATTTTTCTCACGATATATACAGTGTGTGTGTGTGTTGTGTGTGTATGTATGTGTGTATGTATTTGTGTGTGTATGTGTGTGCCTGTGTGTCATTTTTAAATTTACAATTTGTTGAAAAATAAAATAAGAGAAAGATTTGTACAATAAAAAAAAACGCTCACATAATACATACACATCTAACATATTTTTCACTGTTTTAATTCACAATAATAATAATAATATTATTATTATTTGTAGTATTATTATTCATGTTTTTATTATTTTAATTATTATTAAAACGTATTTCAAAATCTGCAATTGAAACATTTAATATATTGCAACAATGTCGCATTATTAGGCAGTTATTAACCAATTAATTAATTTGGTTCATTTAAGTTAAATTAATTAAGTAATTGATTGATTAGAATTACTATTAAGTTGAAAGTAAATAGTGTGCAAGCAGCATCATAACATGAAAATGAAATGAAAAACAAGAAAGAAACGAACGAACGAACGTACAAACAAACGAACGAACGAACGAACGGAAACACAAACAGACATGGATTAGAAACATTACAATCTTTCTATACAATATATTATACGAATGTATTGTATAGCAGCGTGTTGTTGGATTGTTGGTGTCATATAAGAAGAACATTCCCCTTACGTGTTCATAGCTGGTTATTAAGCGACCCAGAACTCTTAAAAGCCCCGTGGTCATCGCACGTACATCTCGGGTCGACCCCTCCCCCGGTACTCTGCTGGTGACGGTGGGTCATCATCCCGATTTGACCCCCTGCTGGTGGAGGTGGCAGTCTCGGGTTCACTCCGGCAGCCATGGGAAACTGTTGGTGAGCGGGTGGCGGTTGTGGAAGGGTGGAGGTGGGCATGCCCCCGCCCATGGTTAGGTCGTTCCTTTCGTCTTTTGCATTGCCGTCAAGAACGAAGTATAAATGGCTGCCGTCATCCTGATTGGCGTCGTAGTTGGAACTGTTTGGCATGCGTGCCGCGTTGCCGTAGCCTGATGGTCTCCTTTGAGGGGCCATGCTTCTAGCGTCGAACCTGCCCGTGTTTGTACCGCCTGGTCCCATATATCGCTGGGGCATCTGACCAGAGTGCATTGTTGATGGATATTGGTTGGGTGGGTATCGGCCCCTGTACGTTCCACCAGGAATCGGATAACCGCTGGCCATCACATCTGCTCCGTTGTCGGCCCTATGAAACTGAACTGTGACTCTGTTTTGAACTTGGTTACTCGGGAATACACCGTACGGGACGGGTCCCTGTCCTCCGTCGTTCCTCCTCCAGCTATCTTGGGACGAAGTGGCATTGGGGAGAGATGGCAGAGGTCGGGCGTCCATCTTCATGTCTTGCATGGCGTACGTGTTATCCCGGGCCAAAAGGTCTGCTGATGGTCTTCTGGGTTTGGGGCCGTTCATCAGGGGGGACTTGCCGTGCAATAAGGACGCACCTGCCGCCCCCATCTCTCTAAATTCAAATTCTGAACAGGCTGCACCGTATACGTTTGGATCGTCCTTGTGCTTCACCTCGAATTGATGCCTATTTGGTGTTGAATGGTTGCTTGTCGATGGGTTGGTTGATGGGTTGAAACGATTGGAAAATGCGAGATAGAAGGTAAGTTTCGCATATGTTAGTTTACAATTTAAAGTTGTTTAAACCTTGGCGTGATGATGAATAAAATATTTTTATTTTCCACAAATGAAGAAGTATACCGATATCAAATAGCGTTAAAATAATCAATAACTAATCGATAAATAAGATTATTAAACTAAATTTATTGAAAAAAAAACATTTATTTTAAATAAAAATTAAACTATCCGAAACAATTAAATGTCCATCTGACCTTTTTAAACAAACCAGTCCAGTGGTCATTATAAGAACACCCAGTATGACAGCTGTGGATATGACTAGCGCCATTAAAACGCCTGGCGGCAAGAACAAGTTTAAACGAATAACTAAATAAATAATGCATGGAATTTTAATTCAATTAAATTAATTTCAGATAACTCAATTAACATTTTAATCAATTAATTTCAATCAATTAGTTAATTAACCAGTCAAATAACCAATTAGCCAATTAATTAGTTAATCACCAACCGGTGGGCATATTAAATATGGATGTATTGAAAATACTCTCCGACTTCTGAGGAGCTATCTCGGGATCCACTAAACCTGGAAACTTCGGGCAGGTACCGATCAATTTTTCGTCCAGCCACGAGCCATTGATGCACTTGACCTCCCATCTAATGTCGGTTCCGGGGCAGTCGATAGTTGTGACCTCACCTCTTCTCCTCATCCGACTGTACATCGGGGGCGTGAGGTCTGCACACCCGAGGACTTTATGCGTGGGTAGTGACGATGGTGATTATTATTATTATTATTATTTATATAATTATTATTATTATTATCATTATTATTATTGTTGTTGTTGTTGTTATTATTCTATTGGATATTGCTCAGAGATTGTAAGAAAGAGAGAAAGTGAATAAAAGAGAGTCAATGAAATAGAGTTGATGATGATGATGATGATGATAATAAAAATTGTGTTTTAGATGGTGTCATCATGGTGTTAGTGATTTCAAATAATTTATTTAGCAACAATCTTTTCCTGCACGTCAAACTTGTTTCTATAGTGTACCAGATACACTGATACGTTAAAATACAAACTTTGATGCAAACGTCTGTGATATATTATGATATGATATCTTTATAAGATATGATATCTTCATTCATTTATTAGACATTAACTTTTGGAAAGCTATAATAATTCCTGGGTGGAATGAATTGAATGTATGGAATTAATTATTGAAGGGTGGTGTGGTGAACTTTGAATAGGGGGCAAAAGGTGCAAACCTCAACGTGCCCCCTCAAAAAAATACAACCAATACCGCCACAAAATACCGAACATACCTTCGTAGTAGACCAAAAACTGGGGGTTCACATCTGAAAGCCGATCTTCACTGAAACTCACCTCCAATGAATTGATCAAACTCAGATGCAAGTGGTTGACTCTGGTGACGAAATTCGAGAAATTTAATTAATTAATCAATTGAATAATTAACTGATTCATTAATTAATTAAAGAGAAAGATAACAAAAGAGAAAAAAAGCCAGTGAAAGATATGTTAAGAGATGAAAATGGAGTAGAGAGAGAGAGAGAGATGGATTGAGAAGAGTAGTGAAAAAAAGAGAGGAAAGAAAAGAGAGAGAGGAGAGAGAGGGAAAGAAAGAGAGAGAGAGAAAGCAGACTATAACAAAATAATAACATTGTTTACAATTGCATAAACAATTTTAAAAACAATTAAAAACACATGAACACTCATAACAAGAACAGCGCCAAACACATGAACCAATCAAAATAACAAGAGCTATATAAACAATTAAAAACACATCGCCATAATTATGAATGTAACACGATCAACAGCGTTTGGCGTAAAAACGTTAACACGCACGCACACACACACACGCACACACACACACACACAGACGAATTTACAAGGACTGTTGAGACCCTGTAACAACAAAAAATGGAGGGAGGTCCCAATTGATTTAGTTGTGGCCACAAATTAATTAAATCATTTTTCTTTTTATTTTCCAACTTCGAAACATGGGCGACTTTTCTTCCTGGCCTTTTTATTCAATTTTTTTGACCAATTTTTACATTAAAATTAATATCCAACGAAAAACGTTTTAAAGTTATATTATATATCTTGCAGAGGCCCCAGGCCGAATAACGGCACTTTCGACATGAACAACACAAACAACCACACAAACAACCACACAAACAACCTCACAAACGACCACACAAACAACCACACAAACGACCACACAAACAACCACACAAACAACCACACAAACAATCACACAAACAGACACACACTCACCTATTCTCACCGCTACAGTATGGATAATTTTTTCTCAATTCTTTTACACTTAGCAGGCTTTGGCTACATGACGACGACGACGAGGATTCGCCAGAAGATTTTAGCTGCAACCTTTTTTTAAAATTGGATTAATAATAATAAATATTATTATTATTATCATTATTATTATTATAATTATTATTATTATAACAACAACAAATCAAATAACAATAAAATAAAACCAAAAAAAAACTGATCAAGCAATTAAAAAGCAACATCATAAACAACAAAAAAAAAACTTATAAACATCCTAACCCAGAGCTCCCGGCTTCGATTACAGTCAAATTCACAACCTTTCCAGGTGGGAAAGAAAAGGTCCAAGGACATTTGAGGGTGCCACATTGATGGTTAGCACGTTCTTGTTGCGACACGACGCTGGCTAAGTAGCCTCTGGGCGGCACGATTCTTGCGTGGTCGTCGTTTTGGCAGTCGAAACAAGCGCTTCTTTCGACTGGTGTTTTTTGGTGTTTGTGTGTGTTTGTGTGTGTGTGTGTTTGTGTGTGTGTGTGTGTGTGTGTGTGTGGTGCTTTTTTGGCGTGTTTTGTGGTGTTTTTTGGTGTGTCTTGTGGTGTTTTTTGGTGTGTCTTGTGGTGTTTTTTGGTGTGTCTTGTGCTGGTTTTTGGTGTGTCTTGTGATGTTTTTTTGTTTGGTGTGTGGTTTAATATAAATGTCTAGTTTATTCTCTTAGTTCGCTGGTTGGTTATAAAACAGAAAATTGTTTGAATGTTCAAATAAGGAAACTTGAAATATGCTCAAAGAAATAAATAACATAGCTAATAATTAATAGAAAAAACTTACCCAGCAATGAATTAAACTCAAGCCATCCAAACAACCAGCCAGCTAACCAACCAACCAGCCAACCAACCAACTAGCCAACCAGCCATCCAAATAGCCAACCAACCAACCAAGCCACAAACCTGGAAGACAGTTGTACGTAGCATGAATAGCATAATGATTGAATGCTGAACACCCCTTTTCTTTCAATGACCTCTTCCAATTTTCCAACTGGCCGTTAACATTGCACGTAAACCGGGCGAAACATGCATTATCCAACCAGTCGCTAATGTCGATGCTACACTTACCACTGGTACTACTACTGCCGCTACTACTACTTTCAATATCGGTATTTTGGTGGTCGTTGTCGCCGCTGTTGATGATGTTAGCACAAGCTGTGGCCAGTGTCGTTGTTGAGTTTGTCAGGTAGAATGTTGCCGTCAAGATGTTTAACACGTAGTTCGTTTGGCAGGTTATTGAGAGTTCTCGCTTCTGGCAGTGGTATAGACCTGTTTGCGCGTGTGTGTGTGTATGTTTGTGTGTGTGTGTGTGCGTGTATGTGTGTGTGTTTGTGTGTGTATGTGTGTGAGTAGTGTGTGTGTGTGTCTGCAACAACATGCAAAGTAAGAAACGATGAAAATAAAACATGGATTCAGAACGGATAATAATACAATTAAAGAAAGAAAATATAGGCGAAGAAACAATGTAATAATGTAACAATGTAAAAGAAGTGTAAATACATGTAAATGTAGATATAAATACATGCAATTTGCGTGCCGGATGCGTTGTTTTACATGTATTTAAATGCACAACTCAAATGTATTAAAAGGTTTGTTGTTGTTGTTTCTTCTGGAAAATTTAGAAGAGAGGATTGTTAAGGAGTATAAATTGATGATTTTGTGAATTTCATTTCAAAGAGTACGAGCTAGAACCTTAAAAAACTTTATAATTTGAAAAAAAAACACACAGCAGAGTTTTTAATATTATTCTAAATAAAATTATTATTATTATTATTTACTTTAGCGTCATAATTTTTATCATTTATGTTATTTTTAATTATTTATATTATATTTTCTAAACATATAAATCACCATTTATACGGTCATCAAGTTTGTGAAGGAAATTTAACTATCTTTTTCACCATCGTCGTCACCATCAAAATCATCAGAAGACATCAGAGATAGCACTTATAATTGCATTTAATTTGCTCTGAGAATTCGAAGCATGTCATGTTCATTCATTTCATCTGTCATCATCATCGTCATCATCATCGTCATCATCATCGTCATCATCATCGTCATCACCATTTTATTCTAATCACATTTAATCTTCCTATAGAAGTTAGGTTATGCTGTGTTCACTGTTATAAGATCTAATTTTTTTGGAGTAGATACTGCTATTAATAATGATAATGATAATGACGATGATGACGATAACAATTATGGTGATAACGATATCATGACGACGACGAAGAAGAAAAACGTTATTAAGATGATGATGATGATGATTTTGGTGGTGATAATTAACACAAAGAAAATGACACAATGATGAAAACATGTAATGATGAAGACACACATTATGATAGTGAAGTAGATGAAGATGACGGAGAGGATGATGATAATGATGACGGAGAGGATGATGATAATGATGACGATGAGTCAGTCGAACGAACAGACAGAGAGATTACAGAGAATTGATCGCACGAGCGTAGCCGGCTTGCTTCCCCACTCATTCATGCAAACAAGCTCCTCCTCCCTCTCATAAATTATGTTAATGAGATTAGCTCTGACGCTAACGAGATTTGCCTCTAAATTATGCTGATCAGATTGCTTGGCGTCGTATGCTAATGAAGCATCGTGAATATTAATAAAGATGGAACGATAATGGTGTGAGAATGAATGTAGCTATTACCACCATGGAGCTATTTTTAGAAGCGTTTATATGTTTCTTTGTGTGTGTGTGTGTGCGTGTGTGCGTGTTTGTGTGTTTATATATGTTTATACAGGCTTTATATTAAATGTTTATATTTTTGCGTTTAAATGTATATATCTGATTAAGTTAATAAAATATAAGAAAGTTTATGAAACGTTACATAAATAAATTTTTTCAATTTGAAAAGAAAAGAAATCTATCTACTTACTTTCAGTATTGAATACCGGAAATGATTCGTGCAGAATAAGTCCGCGGCAGATGCCAGGAAACAAGATGGCCGCCAAGATGGTCGTCATGAATAATGATGAGGATGAAGACGAAGATGATGATGGTGATGATAATGGTGGTGGTGATAACGGTTTTGTTGATTTGCAGACCATGATCGGTTGGTTGGTCTGTGGATTGGTTGATTTGCTGATTGGTAGGTTGATTGGCTGTCTGGTTGGTTGGTTGAAGGAATGAATTATTTATACTTATAATGCGTGCTTAGGGCTTGATTTGATTCGAATTCGAGTGAAATAGTTTGATGGTGACGTCATATAGTATCTAAACAACATTGATGTTATTTTTATTATTGTTGTTGTTGTTATTACTATTGTTATTGTGCACCCATTCAGTATCTTTGCTATTCCAAAGTTCAGTTTACTTTTTGTTGGTTCGTCATTAGCGACCGGAAATTGTGATGATGAGGAGGAGGATGATAGTACTAGTAACAGCGATGATGATGACGATGAAGTTGTTGATGTTGTAAATGATCTAGTGATGGTAATACTAGTCCCAATGTTGTTGTTTGTGTAATTGTTAGATCGAAGAAGTCTGTTAAATTAAAAATATGTATCAGTTTAACAGGCGCCGAAAAAGATATTATTTTTATTAATAAAAGTTGGAGTAGTAGTTGTTGTTGTTTTTGTTGCAGGTGTTTTTGTAGGTAGTAGCAGTAGTATTAAAATGGTAAAAAATATAAAATGAATGAATGAATGTATGTATGAATGAATGAATGCATGACGCAAACATACATTCATTCAGACTAAGTGGCGACAAGATAGTAGCTAGCAAGTATAATGACTTGTAGTAATTTAGTTACTAATTTGTTGGTTTGATGTGTGATTATATACGTGTGTGTCTGTGTGTGTGTGTTTGAGTGTGTGTTTGAGTGTGTGTTTGAGCGTGTGTGTGTTTGTGTGTGAGTGTGATAATTTGGGTGTTAATTCGACTGTTTAAAACTGATTTGGTGGTAAAATGACAATTTAATTCAATTAATGTTGGTGACTAGGCTCATTAATTCGTCTAGTTAGTCTTGTTTCTGCCTTTTATTCGAACTTTTTGTACGATCTATCATTCACTGATTCATTCATTCAATCTATCTTTCATTCATTCATTTATTCTTTTATCTACGAATTTGTTTAATTATTTATTCAATGATTCATTCACTCAATTAAAAACTCATTCATTGGATTGCATTCCTCCACTGACTCCGTCATATTCTTTCAGTTATTCATTCTTTACATTCATTTTCACTCATTCATCCATTTGTTTATTTTCTCATTCACTCATTCATTAACATACTAACTCGATCATTCATTCATTCAATTTTTCATTCCTCAATCCACTCACTCGCTTGCTAACATATATCATTCATTCCTTTACTCGTTTTTAAATTATTAACCCTTCTTTATTCATTCATTCATTCATTCATTCATTTATTCATTCATTCATTCATTTGTTCATTCACACGCTCAGCATGATGAATGAATGAATAAATGAATGAATGAAATTTAAAGACGCCGCGTTACTTCTGCAATACAAGTCAGTTTAAATGAGGAAACTTTAAACACAAGTTTTGCAAGTTTTTCATCATCATCATCATCATAATCAATATCATCATCATCATCATCGTCGTCGTCATCAATACTACAATCATCATCATCTACACCATCATCATCATCTACATCATCATCATCATCATCACCTAGTCGTTGTTTCAAACGAATGGGTGAAAAATTAAAGAAACACGAAACCATTGAATTTTCTCGGTAACGTTTTAATAATAATAATAATAATAATATAATAATAATAATATAATAATAATAACAATAATCACAACAACAACCGCAACAATAACAACAACAACAATAATAGTAACAACAACCGCAACAATAACAACAACAACAACAATATTAATAATAATAACAATAATAATAACAACAACAAAGTGTACATCGTTCAATAATTAAAAACAGAGCCAAAACAACAAAAATAATAGTAATAATAATAATAATAGCAACAACAGCAACAACTACAATGACAATAATAAAAAGAAAACAACAATAATAATAAGAACATCAATGGCAGATATGCCTTTACGTTTTCAATCAAATTTGACCCGGGCGGATGGTTTTGATGATGATGATGATGTTGGCTGCTACTACTACTACAACTACTCTACAACTGCATAACTAGTACTACTACAACTGCTGCTATCCCATTTAATACCACTACTACTACAGCCACTGATAACGATACTGTAGTTACTGCTTCTGCTACTACAGCAACAGCGGATGGTTTTGATGATGATGATGATGTTGGCTGCTACTACTACTAATACAAATACTCTACAATTGCATATTACTACTACAGCAACTGATAGCGATACTGTAGTAACTGCTGCTACTACTACAGCCGCTAATAGCGACTCTGTAGTAACTGCTGCTGTTACTACAACCACTGATAGTAATACTGTATAGATACTACCAAAGCTATCACTAGGGTATGATAAATTATTTCCAAATCTGACAAAAGCGGAAGAAACATTTTCTGGCATCAAAAAACAACCTTGAAAAATCATCATTTATTTCTATCATTGTATACATTATCATTTTTGGATTGTGTGTTTTGGTTATTTGTATGTATGTATGTATGTATGTATGTATGTATGTATGTATGTATGTATGTATGTATGTATGTATGTATGTATGTATGTATGTATGTATGTATGTATGTATGTATGTATGTATGTATGTATGTATGTATGTATGTTTATTTTATACATGTATGTATGACGTATGGATAGATGTATGTATGAATAGATGTATGTATGTATGTGTGTATGTATGTATGTAAGTATGTGTATGTATGTTTGTATATCTGTACACGTGTGTGTGTGCGCGCACAGTTTCGGCACACTTGGAGTTATGTAACAGTATCTTGATAAGGAAGACAAGAAAAAATATATCAAGTTCTATAACAAAAATTTTTACAGGTCGTCATCATCATGACTTCTCCATCGTATACACAATCAGATATATACACGTACACACAGTCAGATACACACACACACACACACACGCACGCACGCACACATTGCTTATATTGTTTTTATGATAATAATGGTTAAGTGATTAACCCGCTCGTTCATCTTCGCCATTTATCATATTAATAAAAAAATAAAAAAAAATAATTATTTCAGTTCTATTTATAGTTATCATCATCATCATCATCATCCTTATCGTCATCTGTATCATCATCATCATCATCTGTATCATCATCATCATCTGTATCATCATCTTCATCATCATAATCATCATCAAAACGCGACTGGATGACGATGAAGATGGCGATGATGAGATTAGCTAAACCTAGCTATGTGCATGAAAAAGCTTGGAAATTCTCTATCGGTATGTATGCATGTATATATGTATGTATGTTTGTATGTATGTATGCATGTATGTATGTATGTGTGTATGTTTGTATGTATGTATGTTAAAACCAAATCATTGACGAATGACACCAAAAGCCAAGCGTCTGACTAAATTTGTTTGTATGTATGTATGTATGTACGTACGTATGTATGTACGTACGTATGTATGTACGTATGTATGTGTATATGTTTATGCGTGTACGTAAGTGGATACAAATATCTGAATGCGTTTCTATGCAAGATGTATACATTAAGAGAAAGAGAAAAAGAGAGAGAGAGTGAGAGAAAGAGAGAGAGAGTGAAAAAGAGAGAGAGAAAAAAATAAGAGAGAGAGAGTGAGAAAGAAAGTGAGAGAGAGAGAGAGAGAAAGAGAAAGAGGGACAGAAGCACTGAAGTTGAGTAACAGAGAGATGATAATTCTTAATAAAAATTATTCCCTGCAATTAACACAAGCGTAAAGGCCTAATTAACGACTCAACAATAGTAATAATAATAATAATAAATAATAATAATGATAGATAACAATAATAATAATACAATAATAAAAAATATTACTCGGATTAGCAACTGTCATATCAGAGGAATTGTAATTAATTGGATATTATTGTAGATAACAATAAAACGTCTGCTACTACTACAGCTTCTTATACTACAAATATGGCTACTACTACGGCTGCTACTACTACAACTACAACAACTACAGCTTGTTTTACTACTAATATTACTGCTATAATACAGCTACTACTACTACTACTACAGCTTGTTTTACTACTAATGTTACTGCTACTACTACCACTACAGGTTGTTATACTACTAATGTTATTACTAATACAGCTACAACTACTACAGCTTGTTATACTACTAATATTACTACAGCTACAACTATTACTACAACGCTATTATTACTATTATTGTTACTACTACTACTACTACTACTTAGTAGTAGTAGTAGTAGTAGTAGTAGTAGTCGTAGTAGTAGTAGCAGAAGTAGTAGATGTAGTAGGAGTAATACATTTAGACATAATTTCATAATCTACTCGGAACAGGATGTAGTATTTAGCTTGCAATTAGGATGGTGCTTTTGTAGGGATACTAATAAGTTTTCCTTCTTAATTTTTTTTTAAATAATGTCATAAATATTTTTTCCTTCTCTCTCTCTTTCCCTTTCACTTTTTCTATTCTTCTCTTTATTTATTTTATTTTTGTTTGTCATATTTCGAATGTTTCCATCTCTCTCTCTCTCTCTCTCTCTCTCTCTGGCTCTCTCTCTCTCTTCCTCTCTCCATTCTTTTACTTTTTATTTATTTATTTAAATAGTCAAATAGCTTAAATGTTTCTTTCTCTCTCTCTCTCTCTCTCTCTCTCTCTCTCACACACACATACACACACACACACTTTCTCATTATTTTATCTTTATTCACTTTAATAAATAACTCATGCGTTCTCTTTTGATTCCTTTTTTCAGTTAGTTGTTCACTCTTCTCTCTCTATCTACCATTATTTGTTTAGCTTCTCTCTCTCTTTCTCTCTTTCTCTTTCTTCTTCTCTCTTTCCTCCTTGTTTCTCTTATCCCTTTATACTATCATTGTTCTTACTTCT